CACTTATGTATCCCCCCATGTTTTTCACCTTCATTGTATTATCACCTGACCTAATGCGGGTATAAAATCAACTAATATTGTAAGATCTGTTCACTTGAGAATGAACCATGGAGGTTCGAAACGTCGTGCAAATTATACAAATAAGTGTAAATACACTCTATAGTAAATCACTTCTTTTCTTCACCTTAAAAGTACGAAAATGAGTTTTGGAGAACTCCTATTTCAATTAAGCCCTGATGCTAAGAAAATAGTTAGAGGGATAGAAGCCCTAAACCAGAAAATAATAAATACAGAATATGCGGTCATATTCAATGAAACATGTTTGAAAGAAAACCTGCTGCCAGTATACACCAATATATATATATATATATATATATATATATATATATATATATATATATATATATATATATATATATATATATATATATATGTCGTACCTAGTAGCCAGAACGCACTTCTCAGCCTACTATGCAAGGCTCGATTTGCCTAAGAAGCCAAGTTTTCATGAATTAATGTTTTTTCGACTACCTAACCTACCTAACCTAACCTAACCTAACTTTTTCGGCTACCTAACCAAACCTAACCTATAAAGATAGGTTAGGTTAGGTTAGGTAGGGTTGGTAAGATTCGGTCATATATCTACGTTAATTTTATCTCCAATAAAAAAAAATTACCTCATACATAATGAAATGGGTAGCTTTATCATTTCATAAGAAAAAAATAGAGAAAATATATTAATTCAGGATAACTTGGCTTATTAGGCAAATCAACCTTGCATAGTAGGCTGAGAAGTGCGTTTATATACATATATATATATATATATATATATATATATATATATATATATATATATATATATATATATATATTTGAGTGAGGTGGATGGGGTGAGGTGGTATTAATAGGGTATTAAATTCCTAAACACAAGACAGAACACGAAACAATGGGTATTGAATGGAAGTGATTGTAGAAAGCCTATTGGTCCATATTTCTTGATGCTTCTATATTGGAGCGGAGTCTTGAGGTGGGTAGAATATAGTTGTGCATTAATTGGCTGTTGATTGCTGGTGTTGACTTCTTGATGTGTAGTGCCTCGCAGACGTCAAGCCGCCTGCTATCGCTGTCTCTATCGATGATTTCTATGTTGTTTACTAGGATTTCTCTGGCGATGGTTTGGTTGTGGGAAGAGAGACAGAACACGAAACAGAACATGTTTCGTGTTCTGTCTTGTGTTTAGGAATTTAATACTTTATTAATACCACCTCACCCCATCCACCTCACTCAAATATATATGTATATATATATATATATATATATATATATATATATATATATATATATATATATATATATATATATATATATATATATATATATATATATATATATTTCGTTGAAAACGACAGAAAGTTTTAGATTTATGATTCTGGCACGAATCATTTTGATATTCCCTATGTTATTCTTCACTGAAGCTGTCAGTTGAAAAATGAACTCTCCAAGGTTCATTCTTACATTTTATTTGGGTCTGACGCCTAGTGATGCATTTCATAAGGTCTCTCCTCACATTCTCAAATACAAATTCTACTGTATTGTTGTTGTTTTAGATTCAGTTACTCAGAACGAAAAGTGCCAAGTAGCACGAGCTATGGTGAGCCTCTAATTGCTTAGCACCTGGTTATATCCTTTTATTGTGAGATGGTTAGGTGGCATATGGATGAATGACATTACATGGGGGATATTAATAAGGTATTAAATGTATCAACATAGAGTATGACATGTTGGCAGCTTAAGCTCTTCTGGCTGCTTATGTTCCTGTTGCAGGCTCTTTCGGTCCTGCTTCTGCGTTGGTCCGGGGGTCTTGAAGTGGGTAGAGTGTAATTGTGTATTAGCTGGTTATTGATTGCTGGTCTAGATTTCTTGATATGCAGCGCTTCACTGATGCCTAATCTTCTATTGTCATTATGACAATAATCTCCAATAGGCATATTGATACTGGTCTCCCAGTTTCCAATAGGCATATTAGAGACTGGGACGACCAGTATCATCAAACAAGACTCAGCTGTTTGCCATACAACAGGCATTCGCATATGTGATTGGAAAAAAACTCACTCAAAATGCAATCCTACACCAATTTCAATAGCTGCACTTCGAATATTAGGAAAAAGCACTGGAAAGACAACGTAGAAATAATTACTACCATTTTGTTTCTTGGAGCAGTAGCTAAAGTCAAAAGACTCAACATGACCCTAAACTGGATCCCATCCCATGTTGGAATCCCACTAAATGAGAAAGCCGATGAAATTGCTAAATTGACAACTCGTCATCCAGTGATACATAAAACAATCCAACCCAGCCTAGAGTACATAAAAAACACCATCACCAAAAAACTCTCACACCTCAACAAAGCCTATCTACACTATAGAGTAGCTGAAGGTTCGCCCTCTGCAACATGGTATCTTCAGACCATCAAATTAGAAAGGTGAAATACCCCCAAAGGAATCCACAGCGAAACAGCAGTTCGGTTATATAGACTACGTCTATGTTACAGATGCAACTGGGAGATTGGTGAACCCCGACAGAGAAAATGTTTCTGCCAGTCACATAAAAGCCACTACTTCACTGTCTACTGGAATGCGAAGCAACCAACGCCCAGCAGCAGAGAATGTCCAGCAGCTGGACACCCTCATAAATGTTATAAAATAATCCGCAAAGCGACCAGGAAACCCGCGGTGAGATACACTTTAGGCAGCCCTGAACCCCTCAGAGTACTGTATAGTCATAATGGCATGACGCTTCCTCTTCATACTTCCCTTCCCCTTCACACATTCCTCCCCTACATTAGTCATTCCTCAACTTCCGTTCCATCATATACTAGGAGCCTTCTGCCCCCTCCATATTGTACCAGGAGTCTTCTCCTGCTCTGTATTGTTCAGAGCCCCCTCGTCCTCTACTGTATACAGCACCAATAACTTCAGCATAAAAATGCCTAATGCCTTCCTCCCGGCGTGGGCGTTATTCTCCCCCGTCACTGCTGGGTCTCCACTCCACCCCCCTTGTTTATGTGGCCAACAGGTAGTTCACATCTGCCACAGAGAGTGCTTGCGTGCGTGTGTGGAGAGCCTGTGTGGGTGCGTGTGTGGGTGCGTGTGTGGGTGCGTGTGTGGGTGCGTGTGTGGGTGCGTGTGTGGGTGCGTGTGTGAGTGCGTGTGTGGAGAGCGTGTGTGGGTGCTGTGTGGGTGCGTGTGTGGGTGCGTGTGTGGGTGCGTGTGAGGGTGCGTGTGAGGGTGCGTGTGTGGGTGCGTGTGTGTGGGTGCGTGTGTGGGTGCGTGTGTGGGGTGTGGTGTGTGGTGCGTGTGTGGGTGCGTGTGTGGGTGCGTGTGTGGGTGCGTGTGTGGGTGCGTGTGTGGGTGCGTGTGAGGGCGCGTGTGAGGGCGCGTGTGTGGGTGTGCTACACATGGCTTTAGGTGTCATTAATTTTGCTTCAATACACTGATTAAATTGATGGTTCCCGGAGCATCTTGCCTCTCCTCGTAACTTGGCTGTGACTGGGCCATGACTGGGCCATGACTGGGCCATAACTGGGCCATGACTGGGCCATGACTGGGCCATAACTGGGCCATGACTGAGCCATGACTGGGCCATGACTGAGCCATGACTGGGCCATGACTGAGCCATGACTGGGCCATGACTGGGCCATGACTGGGCCATGGCCATAACTGGGCCACGTAACTCCTCCATCATTACCTAAGCTTCAGAACCCTGCATTTGTCAGCATTAAATTCCATCTGATAATTACGACCGCTTCAAAAGTTTATATAGATCGTCTTGAAATGATTCCGAATCTTCTTAATATACTTCTTGCCCAATTAACGTATTGTCTGCAACTTTGCAAATGTTGCTGCTCAATCCTGAAGATAAATCTTTCTTATATATGATAAACAGTAGAGGTCCCAGAACAGAGACCTGGGGGCACTCTACTGACAATGGTTGTAAGCTACCAACTTACAGCTTACAAAAGGTTGTAAGTACAACATAGGGTTACCCTATGACTATGCTGACCTGTGCAGTGGGACAACTCAAGTACCGGATTGATATGAGCAGCTTGGGCAACCCCCAAAATTTGTCCATTCATTACCGTAATTTTTCATCTGTGTTTTAATATTTTTTTTACGTGGAATGATGCCGGGTCGATATGACATCATTCCACTGAAATATAATTATAGCAAATGATAATTATAAGCAGGGACAGATATTGCAGATTGGTAAACTTAACTTAGGACAAAACTTCCCGTAATTGGGCTCTAGAGCGGCCAGACAACGATTACAATTTGTTTACAACTTTTGCGAACATCAGTGTTTAACATTTTAGTGGATCGACTCATTGCATGAGTCGTCACCAATTTCGTGGGGGGAAACCCATGTGATAATGAGAGCAGATGTTGGGGATATTCCCCTCAGCAATCATCGTGCAAGGTTGCATGATGCTAGCTCAAAGCATCTGGCTTGCAACATTTGAAAGTCAGACAAAATAATCATGCAAGCGGACACAGTTTATGTCTTAGATATAAATAAATATATATCGTATCTGCTTCTGTATGACATGACTCCCTCAAAAGTAGTCAGACATGATGTAATTTTATGCTAATATATTCCTCCCGTCTCCAACTGACCGTAATTGCTGGTTTAGTCTGCACGTGTCTGGACGTGCGCTTATGCTATGTATGTTTACATTATCTTAATGCTAATTGTAATACAGTCTCTCTCTCTCTCTCTCTCTCTCTCTCTCTCTCTCTCTCTCTCTCTCTCTCTCTCTCTCTCTCTCTCTCTCTCTCTCTCTCTCTCTCTCTCTCTCCTCTCTCCTCTCTCTCTCTCTCTCTCTCTCTCTCTCTCTCTCTCTCTCTTCCTCCCCCCCTCTCTCTGTTTTTTCTGTCTGAGAGCCAGAACTTTCATTTGATCAAATTTCATTATTTACTCACAAAAATCTGTGACAAATTTAACTAGTTCGGCTCCAGGCCGGTAATGAGAAGCCTTATACGACATAAGTATAGGTCCCACTGGGAGACTGGTACGCACTCTAGGAGACCCTCGGAGAGTGGTACGAACTCTAGGTGACCCTTGGAGAGTGGTACGCACTCTAGGAGACCCTTGGAGAGTGGTACGAACTCTAGGTGACCCTTGGAGAGTGGTACGAACTCTAGGAGACCCTCGGAGAGTGGTACGAATTCTAGGAGACCCTCGGAGAGTGGTACGAACTCTAGGAGACCCTCGGAGAGTGGTACGCACTCTAGGTGACCCTCGGAGAGTGGTACGCACTCTAGGTGACCCTCGGAGAGTGGTACGCACTCTAGGTGACCCTCGGAGAGTGGTACGCACTCTAGGTGACCCTCGGAGAGTGGTACGCACTCTAGGTGACCCTCGGAGAGTGGTACGCACTCTAGGTGACCCTCGGAGAGTGGTACGCACTCTAGGTGACCCTCGGAGAGTGGTACGCACTCTAGGAGACCCTCGGAGAGTGGTACGCACTCTAGGTGACCCTCGGAGAGTGGTACGCACTCTAGGTGACCCTCGGAGAGTGGTACGCACTCTAGGTGACCCTCGAAGAGTGGTACGCACTCTAGGTGACCCTCGGAGAGTGGTACGCACTCTAAGAGACCCTCGGAGAGTGGTACGCACTCTAGGAATGCCTCAGAGAGTGAGCCTCGATATTTTGATACGGATACCATTGAGGAGAAGGTTCTCGTTGAACAGGACCTTCAACCAGTCGATATTTTGTTGCGAGCAGTCGAGCAGCGCGGTGGAAGGTGAGGAGCCGCACTCACTGCATCTCGCCACACTTGGCCATCCTCGTGTAAACGGTCTCATTTACATGCATGTTGAAGAGGGACTCACCAGCCAGGGAAGACCTCACACCAGATACCTGTGAAGCTCGTGGTTAGTCAACAAATGCATATTATGTACATAGGGGTGATACCACCTCTTTTATTGTTTGTAGGGACCCTCAGCCTCGAAGAAGAGGTTATGCAGCAATGTCTCCAAAGCAATTGGGATAAAACTGTAATGGTGACCCCAGATCTCTGGTCTTACGAGACTTGGCTGACTCCTGGTGGATGGCAGCGCCACCCGGATGTGCAACACTGTAGTCAATGCTGGTGTTAGCCACGCTTGATGCAAGGTTGTAGGCCCATGCCAACTGCCTACCATTCTTCTACGGGTTCACCGGGCTCATCTGAATTACCAAAAGGCTCGTTAGAGTTACGGTGCATTTGGTTACGAGGCTCTCTCTCTGCTGGATAACAGGATGTGGTAAGGCTTCTCTTAATGATGCCATTAGCTTTACTGTGTCTTAAGTGCCTGTGCTTGGTTAGAGTATAATACATGATGGCTGTACGTGTCAGCCACCAACCACCTCGCCGCAAATGCACCAATATTCGGCGTGGAGTGTGGCAGCAGGGCAGGGAGAGCCACTGCGATTCAGAGAGCTCGTAGTGTGAGACGCGTGCCAATTGCTGACATTGGGGTGGCTAATAGGAAGTCACTCATATGGGAGCTGCTATGGCTCTGGGGCGAGCAGTGTTACGTGCTGTTGTTGCAGCGTCTAGGCACACTGCCTGGTCTACAATGGGGCCCATTCCAGCTGGATAGCTTTGGACTTTAGCTGGTGGCGGGTGGAGTGGTGGGGCGGCGAGGGAGACCCACTTGGTGGCGCAGGGTATAAAACAAGGCTCTTGGACAACCCTGCGTTTTCGTATTACAAAAACAGACAGTAACTGTAAGATAACATATAACTTATACAACTGTGCAAAATAAATAACTTTCGTTCTGTCATTTACATGACATTTGATTAACACACAATGTTTGGTTTAGAACATGTTGTTTGATAAAACTGGATTTTGTTTGTATAACTTTATGTAAACTTTATATGATGTGGAGAAAGAGAGAGAGAAAGAGAGAGAGAGAGAGAGAGAGAGAGAGAGAGAGAGAGAGAGAGAGAGAGAGAGAGAGAGAGAGAGAGAGAGAGAGAGAGAGAGAGAGAGAGAGAGAGAGAGAGAGGAGAGAGAGAGAGAGAGAGAGAGAGAGAGAGAGAGAGAGAGAGAGAGAGAGAGAGAGAGAGAGAGAGAGAGAGAGAGAGAGAGAGAGAGAGAGAGAGAGAGAGGACCCAGGCACCGCCGGGTACATCCCATCTGGTATACATTGTACAAAGTCCACATGTCTTCACTCTCCAGTAACCAAAATGTTGAAGCTCTCCAACCACCATCTCAAATTTGCGGCGTTAAAAAACCTTGACCTTCTCGAGTCTTCCTCGGCCTGATGAGCCGAAGAACCTATAATGACCACATGAGGTGTGGTTGAAGCTGTCGTGTGAATGTCTGTGGTAAGGCAGCAACCACTGCAGGTTTGATGCTCTTAGAGTGGTGGGAAAGAACCGGTTACCAAGCATCGTTAGCCGCAGACTGGACTAGCAGCCTTCCAGTTAAGTATATGCAGAACAAAGATGCATAGAACAGAGATGCACAGAATAAACATATGCAGAACAAGCATGTGCAGAACAAACATGTGCAGAACATGTGCAGTAAAGTTTTCTCTCATCAAATAGTGAGAAAAAAAGCAGCAAGATTTCGATATAGCTGGGAATGTTGACAGGAGGTTCGAAGGATTTAAGGTTTTCCAGAGATAAATGGAGTTAAACTTTCACATTCAGGGTAAAAATGTAAGCTGCAGAACCGAGTTACTAATTGACGTTACATCCTCCTTTGTTAGCAAGGGAACAATTAGCTAATTATTTCCGCTAATTGGGAGAGACGGGTCAATAAATGAGTGAATAGTGGTCTTGCTGACTCTCTCTCCGCTCTTCTTCTCTCAATCATCGGTACTTCACAAATTTCCTTTTACAAATTCTAATTAAAAAAGTTATTTGAAACAATTTTTTTTTGCGGTTCCTAATTTTAACATTTTCATGTATCATGGTAGATTTTTTTCCTTAATTAAGAACTACTATTTGGCCTTTTAAGATGTCCAATTTTAGTCTTTTTTTTATTAATCTCATTGTTACAATATCAAATCCCTAGAAACTTTGTTCAGTGGAACCTTTTTTTTTAATGTGAAGACAATGCAGGGAACTGTCACACAAAAGACAAAACAGATGATGTATAGATCATATAAGTCCCCATTTCCACTACTAGTGAAGACCAGTGAAGCACTGGGTCTAGGGGAGAGGGATCTGGAATAAAGGTGGGACGATACTAAGATATAACACAACAGGGGCCGAGGAATATTGAATAAGGATTAGTAGTGAGATAAAGACGACTTACAAGGCGTTTCTGAACATTTAATTGTATCAAGAATGTTGGTAGGAGAGCACTTGCTGGGGCTGGACCACATTCGTCGCTCCAGGTTATGAGTTACCATAAAAGGATTAAAAGCAAGGAAACAAGAGAACAGGTAATCTAACAACATACAATATTGTCAAGCATCTACTGAGGAAACTGTAGACTGACATCCCGCCTCCCTCACATCACAGCCAACGTCTCCCTAAGGCTTCCCAACGGCAAGAAACTGTAGTACTAAAGTGCCCTTATCCTAACCTAACAGAGGACCCAAAACAGAAAAAGGGACAATACATCACATCCGCGAGCTGCTTCCATTTTCTAGTACCACAACTTTTGGCCTTATGTAACGCATACGATCAAAAGCGACGTTCTTTGTGAGATTACAGGTTGCTCATCACATAAGATGAGATTCACAATAACTTGAGAATTTCATTCATGTGTGAGATCATTAAGTGAGTGTCATCCATTTGTGCCCTCATATATGTGAATGTTGACCCCTGTGGGTCAACCAGGGTTGATGCAAGATGCATTTTTATGCTTTTTTCCGTTACCCAGATACTTTTTGATGCTTTTTCCGTTACCCAGATACTTTTTGATGCTTTTTTCCGTTACCCAGATACTTTTTGATGCTTTTTCCGTTAGCCAGATACTTTTTGATGCTTTTTTCCGTTACCCAGATACTTTTTGATGCTTTTTCCGTTACCCAGATACTTTTTGATGCTTTTAATGTTGACCCAGCACTCTCACTACATAGGCATGACGAGGGAGTCTCTTTCTATGCGTCTGACTGTCCACAAACAGCAAGACTCCATTAAAGATCACATCATTACGACTTACGACCAGATCATCATCAAAGAAATTATCATCAGCAAAGCCAATTTAACAGTCAAATACCACTGCAATGAGAGACTAAACATAGCTAAAGCACTTCATGTCAAACACCCTGGCGGATCATATCCAGGTTTACCTACCCTTCAGCATGATCTTCAGACTACTGCCAGCTGATGCCTTCCCCGTGTCTGAGTCTAACAGTCAGAATACAGGACCCTGATTTATTATTCAATTCGTGTCTAATCACAATTGATAAAACCACAATGCCAATAATTGTTATAAAAATTAATATTCATATAAAGTTCCCAAAATGCATAATTTAGGGAAGTTTTTAACACCGCAGATATACTTTATTTTGCAATTAGTGCCACACTGAGTCAAAAGTTGTGGCCAAGTGGCAGTAATAGTGTGAGACGCTCGTTTGTTAAAGCAGCGACGGCTATTATCCTGTGTTAATTGGGCCATAACCCCGGGGGCTGTACCCGGCTCCCTGCTGCCTGTACCCGGGCCGCCTGCTGCCTGTACCCGGCTCCCTGCTGCCTGTATCCGGCTCCCTGCTGCCTGTACCCGGCTCCCTGCTGCCTGTACCCGGCTCCCTGCTGCCTGTACCCAGCTCCCTGCTGCCTGCACCAGACTCCCTGCTGCCTGTACCCGACTCCCTGCTGCCTGTATCCGGCTCCCTGCTGCCTGTACCCGGCTCCCTGCTGCCTGTACCCGGCTCCCTGCTGCCTGTACCCGGCTCCCTGCTGCCTGTACCCGGCTCCCTGCTGCCTGTACCCGGCTCCCTGCTGCCTGTTCCCGGCTCCCTGCTGCCTGTACCCGGCTCCCTGCTGCCTGTACCCGCTCCCTGCTGCCTGTACCCGGCTCCATGCTGCCTGTACCCGGCTCCCTGCTGCCTGTACCCGGATCCCTGTACCCGGCTTCCTGCTCCCTGTACCCGGCTCCCTACTCCCTGTACCCGGCTCCCTGCTGCCTGTATCCGGCTCCCTGCTGCCTGTACCCGGCTCCCTGCTGCCTGTACCCGGCTCCCTGCTGCCTGTACCCGGCTCCCTGCAGTCTGTACCCGGCTGCCTGCTGCCTGTACACGGCTCCCTGCTGCCTGTACCCGGCTGCCTGCTGCCTGTACACGGCTCCCTGCTGCCTGTAACCGGCTGCCTGCTGCCTGTACACGGCTCCCTGCTGCCTGTAACCGGCTCCCTGCTCCCTGTAACCGGCTCCCTGCTCACCAACATTCATGGAACTCGTACAGGTAAATGTTCTTGATAGTTTAGACAAATTCATTTGAGACGTCTATGTTGTCTCGGCCAAAACGTCTCATCTACACCTCAGGCCAGGCTCGTTAAAGCGGCCGCCGTCTTCCCCCTCCCCCCAAACGCAATCATTAATGTTAACCTATTGTGCTTTAAAAATGGGTTTGTTCTCATATATAAATTACCATTATTTTATTACCCTTATATATTACCATTACCATTGCTAGAATGTAAACATGCCAATATTATGCAATCTCAAAACCCATTGTACCTTCTTGTAAATAAATACATAAATATATTAAATAAATAAATCAA